GTGGCTTCCGGGAGCTGACGGTCACGAGTGTCCTCCCTGGTCCCACTCAACAGCACCGCATGACCTGCTGCCCCCGAGGTGTTACTCATCTCGCCCCCGGGGCTAAGCCGGTGTGGTAGCTGTGGGAGGCCTGAGGCAATGCAGGGGTGGGCACCTGACCAGACGCGGGCACAGGGAGACGAGGCAGCGGGCAGACGCTGGCTCGTGCCGGGTGGGGCTTGCAGGGTGTGTGGGACGCCCTTGACTCTCAGCCCTCTGCCACGAAGGCCGTTCGGAGGAGTGACATCTGTTCTTTGTATACGAGACGTCATATCCTTTTCCAGACGAACTGAATAACAAGTCGGTGAGGATTTCCCGTCTTCACCGTGAATATCCGAGTTTTGGGGAAAAAGCACGACAGGGCTGAAAATGAGTGTGCCTGAGTTTTACGTTTTTGATGTCGCATTACAATAACTGTTCCCGTGGGAACAGCCGAAGCCAGGTGTCACTTTCGGCTGTGCCCAGGACCTAGGTCATCGTCTAGATGCTTCCTTGAGCTGACACAACAGCTTTGCACTGGGCTCACACGTTGGGCCCGTGTGTCCTACTGAGGGGACAGATGCAGATGGAAACCCGGGTCCGGTGAGCTGGGTGTGTGCAGATGTTTGGCGCTGGGAGACAAAAGTTTAGACACTGGAGTCCTGCAGTTTCCGTGTGGACGTTCCGTGTGGACACCGCCTGGGCTGACTTGATTGTGAACATCGGTCTTAAAGACCTGTTTTTCGAAAGGCAGAGTCAGAGATGTTTTTCATTCACTGGTTCACTTTGCAAATGGCCACAATGGCCAGAGCTGGGCCAGGCGGAAACCAAGAGCTTCTTCCGGGTCTCCCACGTGGGTGCAGGAGCCCAAGCACTTGGGTCACCTGCGGCTGCTTTCTCAGGTGCATTAGCAGGGAGCTGGATCGGAAGTGGAGCAGCCGGGAATCAAACCTGTGCCCATGTGGGATGGACGCCAGCATCACAGGTGTTGGCTTTACCCGCTATGCCACAACGCCGGCCCCTGTAAAAGATTCTTTTTGCTAAAGGTTTATTTATTTGAATGGCAAAGTTAGAGGCAGAGAGAGAGAGAGAGAGACCTTCCATCTGCTGGTTCACTCCCCAGATGGCCACAATGGCTGGAGCTGGACTGATCCGAAGCCAGGAGCCAGGAGCTTCTTCTAGGGTTCCCACATGGGTGCAGGAGTCCAAGGATTTGGACCTCCTTCCACTGCTTTCCCAGGCACATCGGCAGGGAGCTACATTGGAAATGGAGCAGCTGGGACTCGCACCAGCGCCCATATGGGATGGCAGCACTGCACGCCACAGTGCCGGCCCCATCAGAATTTTCAAAAGGGAACACGGCTCCAAAAATTCCGATGGAATAAAAGGATAACGAGTGGCTCGCCCCACACCCGACCAACTCCCACTCCCCAGTTTCCTCAAATCCTCGAAACCCAGAGTCCGTTCCTTGGGTTCACTCAGCTCAACCTCTTCCCTTTGCGCTCTGTGCGCCTGCATTTTACACGAATTGTCTATCATTCACATAGGGTTTTTGTTTTGTTTTGTTTTTTTGTCTTTACAAGCGTTGAGAGGCAGAGACAGAGTTCCCGTCTGCTGTTTCTCTCCTCAGATGCCTGCGGCGTTGCAATCTCTGGTTCACTCCCTAAATGACCACAACAGCCAGGAGCCCAGAACTCCTTGGGACTGGGTCGGTCCAAAGTCGGGAGCTGGGAGCTCAGCCTGGGTCTGGCATTCGGGAGCCATCACTGCCCCCCGCCCAGGGTGCACACCAGCAGGACACGGGCATCGAGAGCTGGGAGTGGACACCAGACCCAGGCCCTGCAGTGTGGGATGTGAGGGTCTTGACTGCGAGGCCACGGGCCTGCCCCCCCCCTTGATGGATGTAGTGAACAGTGCGATGACGGAACATTCTCTAGCAGTGTGACCACACGGCCTCGTTATTCGACCAGCTGCACGCTGAGTCCATCACGCAGAGGGACGCAGACCGCTGGGAAGGAGCACTGAGGTTGTGTGCAGGCTTTGCTGCTACAAGCAATCCTGCGACGCCATGTGTGCATCTCGAGGGAATTCCTGGGAGGAAGTTACCAGGTCAAAGGGGTTGCACGGGACTCGTGTTGTGGCACAGCGGGGTAAGCCACTGTGACGTGGGCACCCCGTGGGAGCGAAGGATTGAGGCCCAGCTGCGTCACCTTCAATCCAGCTCCCTGTTCATGTGTCTGGGAAAGCAGAAGAAGATGGCCCAAGTGCTTGGGCCCCACCACCCACGTGGAGACTTGGATGGGGTTCTGGGCTCGCTGCTGGGGTCATTTCGGGAGTGAACCAGCAGCCTAAACGTCTCTGTCGTCTCTCCTCCTCTCTGTAACTCTGCCTAGTAAGTAAATAATTTTTTAGAGGGACTGTGCACTTGAAATTTGGATGGATGTAGCCAAATCGTTCTCCACAAAGGCTGTAACTGATCTGAACTCCCACCAAGAACGTGGTGGAACCTGCCAACGTAATATCTCTAACTGTGCCTGCCTGTCTGACGGGTACACTCCGATAGGCTATCTTGTTGTAGTTTGAACTTTTAAAAATTGCAAGCCAAGTTGAGCATCTTTTTGTAGATTTTAAAATAAGTGGCATTTATTTTTCTTTTGGGCTTTTGTTCCAATGTTCTAATCATTTGTTTTTCCTTAACAGTAGTTTTCTTGATACAGTGAATTTAATACATCTAAAAATCTGCGCATTTTGGTCATGTATTATATAAATAACATTCCTTGGTTTGAATTTTTTGTATTTTGTATTTTTTGTATAGGAATTTTAAAATTTTATGCAGTGAAACACGTGACCTCAGAAGGCTTTTTGGTTTTTTGTTTCTTCTTTGTGTTGCGCTGGCATGTGCTGACTGTCCCTGTGTCTGGGGCAGAGCGTGACTGCATGGCCATGCCGCCGTGAGGACCACACCTGGGGTCTGGCACGTCCACCCCACCTCAGACGCCTATCGCTTCTTTTGTACTTACAGCTTTTAAAATTATTTTCATTCATTTGCAAGGCAGAGAGAGACATCTCCCATTCCCTGGTTCACCCCCAAATGCCCACTGGAGCTAGGGCTGGGCCAGGCTGGGACTGGGAGCTGGGGACTCCGTCTGGGTCTCCCATGTGGGAGGAGGGACCCATCCTCCACTGCCTCCCGGGGTGCACGTTAGCAGGAAGCAGAGCTGGGACACAAACCAGGTACCCCGACGCGGGGCACAGGCGCCCTGAACACCCCTTAACCGCTAGGCCGAATACCACCCTGCTCGGCAATTGTGCCCCAGCTGGAATCGTCCAGTGTAAAGAGTGAGGTAGGGATCTTAGTTTTTCCCAGATGGCTAGCAGCACCTTCGGCTGAGTAACTGTTCCCTCTGATTGGCGAACACGGCGTTCACGGTGAGCCGCCCGGGGCGTGTGTGATCCTTTGCCCTCTGGGCTCCCGGATCGCGAGCAGCGCCACACGGCCTCCTGTGCTGGCGTCGTGGGCGATCGTCTCCCGCAGTGCTCCCACCCTGCTCCTCCCCTCGCCAGGCCCGCTTGGCGGCTCCTGCTTAGGTATGTTCTAGAAGAGTGGGTTCCGTGGTCACTTTCTCTCCCACACCACTGCCTCGGGACTGGTAATTCCCGGTACGGACTAAAGGATTTGGATATTTTTATGATCCTGAGTCTGCCATTTCCAGAGTGGGCTAACTCCATGTATCCAGTGGCTCCCGTTTTTCCTGTGGTTTCTTCGTGAGGGTCTCGGACAGTCTCAGCGCCTCGTTCTTGAATGTTCCCTCTTGCCGCAGTATGAACGAGAGCTTTCCTTCCGTTGCGTCTTAAAGCCTCGTCCCCGGCTCGCGGTGGGCGGCGGCGTCCGTGCGAGCGCCTGGCCGGGCCCTGCTGTTTGCTGGAACAGCTCTCGCTCGGCACATTCTCTTCCCGTGTGTCATCGTTTTCACGCTGGGTAGGAGGCTGCATCATCTGACAATAATGATCACATTATCTCTGCGAAGCACGTTACAGGGAATAACACGGAGGCTGCCCTATTCATTTTCACTTTTCTGTGACCTGGCAGGCACTTTGGGCGGTGGACTGTGACTCAGTCGTCGGGACCGTTACTCCCACTTCTGGGAAGGAGGCGCAGGAGGGCTATCCCATGAGGCTAAGCTGCGTGCACGGAGCTGCTCACGCCAGTCACCTGCAGGAGTAGGGACAGGACACGGCTGGTGGCTCAGGGTCGGGGGAGCGCTGGTCACGGTACACAGCAGCCTCTCTTAGACTGGGGGGAAACCAGGAAGTCACGTTGCGTTGAGAAAAGGGAACAGGAGACAGAGCTCCGGGCCGTCGTGTCTGCCCAGGGCAGGGGACTGTAGGGCATTTTGGAAGGAAGCGCTTTGAGTGTGGAGGAAGCACGGCGGGGGAGCAGACCTGTGTGTGACTTTGCACCTGAAACCACCTGTCTGTCCGCCCGATTGAGCAAGACTTTTATTCTCCCTTTACAAACAGCTGAGAACAGCCGTGTAGGTTGTCGCTGGAACGGAACCGGGGAACGCTTGAAAGCGCCTTGAACGGTGCCCGGCACGATGTGGGGGTTGCCTCCCTCCTAAGACGAGTTTCAACCGTACAGCCTCCTCCTGTCTGATGGCCTCAGCTGTTAACTCTGAAATAGTGTTGGATGGCGGAGTGACGTACATCTTGTCTGGTTCCCAGCACTGAGGGGCATGCGTCTAGGGTCCCGGCACTGAGCCCCGTGGCTGTGGTTGCCAGTCACAGGCACCGGCCATTCCGCCCAGTCAGGAAGCTGATCGCTGGTCTCTCACTGCAGAGTTGCTACAGCCAAGGACGTCTCTCAGGTCTCCTGTGGCCCCTGCACACCTCGCTCTCCCCTGGCCCACACAGCGTCTGGTAAACAGTTCATCTGCAGTGCTTCCCTAACCAGGATTTTTTGTGTTCTTTTTCCCCCCAAGGGTTTGAGGTCTTGGCGTCTGCGTCTCATTACTGGCCACTGGAGAGCGTGGATGGGATCCATGAACTTCAGGACACGGCTGGAGGTAGATCGAGGGTGAGGGGGCGGGGCTGAAGACGCAGTGGGGGCCACTTAGGCTGAAACGCAGGGCAGCCGGGGGTACACCTGGGTGTGAGCACCACACTGAGAAGGAGAAGAATCTGACTCTGTTTGCAAACAGGCCAAGTGTGCAGTCTCTGACAGGTCCTGTCTCTGTCCCTCCACCCACCCATCCATGTATCCACCCATCTGCCTCCCCCCCCACCCCGTGAATCCACCCGTCCACACCTGTGCATGCACACGTGATGGAATGAGGAAGCCACGTGAGTCCCCTCCTCTTCAGAAAGTGCTTTTCTCCTTAGTCCTTGTTTCGGGGCAGTCAGGGGAACAGACGTGAACAGTTGCCTCGAAGCCAGGATGACGGGGCCTAACAGATGCGCACGCAGGTTCTGTTAGTAGCTGTTGGAGGCATTTTACTGCAAGCTGAGTACTTCTTATGTATGCAGGACAGGACTTACGATTCAAAGTGTGATGAAAATGTGCTGTTTCCCCAACAACCTGAAGGCTGACGGTGCCACAGTGGACCCATCTCCTACGAGCCAGGGGTTTGTCTCCACTGCACAAGACCGGCACGACACCCAGGCCCCCAAAATGGGGGCTGTCTAGGGAGGGGTCAAAGCTTGTGCCGATTAAGTCCCACTCACATGTCACCCCACAAAGGCATCCCCCAGCTGCCAGCAAGCGTCCCCAGACCCCTCAGCTCCCTCTGAGGACTTGGCATTGTCTGAGCTGTCTCCATGGGGCTGGCATGGGCCAGCGGGGCCCTGTGTGATGTAATTCATGTTTTTATCTAGAGTAGGGCAGACGCATGATACTCTGGGGCATTTTTTCCTATTCCAAGGGGAGCCATTCTTAAAAAGGATTTATTTATTTAGAAGGCAGAGCAATAGAGGGGGAGCGAGATCTTCCATCTGCTGGTTCATTCTCCAAATGGCCACAATATCCAGGTCTGGACCAGACCAGGAACTCCATCCAGGCCTCCCATGTTGGGGGCGGGGCCTCCAGCACTTGGGGCCTCTGCTGTTCCCCAGGTGGGTGAGCCAGAGCTGGTGGGCAGCAGGGCAGCTGGGAATCAAACTGGCGCTCCGATATGGAACGCGGGCGCTGCAGCTGGCGGCCTCACCTCCTGCACAGCGCCCACCCACAGAGCCGTTCTGGCAGTACAAGTTTTGAATGTTGGGGAAGGTTTTGCATTTTATTTTTATTTATTCATTGCTCTTGACTGTATCAAGTAGCTGGTTCATGCCTCATGGATTTGCTGTGCAAGGATACACGCACACGCGTGCTCACTGGTGTTCTTGCCATGGTTGCCACAGCAGCACGCCATGTGCCCTCCTTCCTGTGGCTCACGTGCTGCAGGAAATCACCACAAACCAGAAAGCACCAATTCTGGCGTCGGCGCTGCTGACGTCCTCATGCTGGGGGGTCCAGGCAGGGGCCTCTGAGGGCGCCGCCCCTTCCGGGACTTTGCTGTCCGTTCAGCACAGCAGCGACCCGTCCATCGTCTGCACTGCGGGTGCCGACCGCCCTGGGCAAGCTCCAGAAAGCCACTTCCCCTCGTTCTAACCCAGTTCTCCTTGCTCAAGGCCTTCATTGGAAAACCCTTGACAGGTGGAAGTGCGTTGTGGAAACAGCTCTTTGTTCAGGCCCCAGCGACTGAAATTCCAGGATTTATTTGAAACTGGAGCTCGAGTGACTACCAGCATCCCTCCTCTCCCCTCACCTGCGCTCTTTTTTTTTTTTTTTTAAAGATTTATTTATTTATTTATTTGAAAGTTAGAGTTACACAGAGAGAGGAGAGGCAGAGAGAGAGAGAGAGAGAGAGAGAGGTCTTCCATCTGATGGTTCACTCCCCAATTGGCCGCAACGGCTGGAGCTGCGCTGATCCAAAGCCAGGAGCCAGGATCTTCTTCCAGGTCTCCCACGTGGGTGCAGGGGTCCAAGGACTTGGGCCATCTTCTACTGCTTTCCCAGGCCATAGCAGAGAGCTGGATTGGAAGAGGAGCAGCCGGGACTAGAACCGGCGCCCATATGGGATGCCGGTGCTTCAGGCCGGGACGTTAACCCACTGCGCCACAGCACTGGCCCCTAGCTGTGTTCCTTGTTGTAGATTAAGTCGGTGCCCTCGGTGTTTTGGAAACATTTACTGATGAGGACGTTTCCTCCTTGGGCTGTAATCATGGCCTTGCCATGGAGTTCTGCTCGCCGAGTGGCTGTGGCACCCCCTGCCAGGCTCCTCGCTCCTGTGCCCTGCAGCTCGCTGGCCGATTGCAATTTGATTTCGGGCTCCTCGAGGGGAAGACGCAAAGCCCGGAGGCCATTAGCACGTTCTGCTGCCGGGGACCGTGGAGCGGCTCTGGCAACCACTCTGCGGACGTGTGCTGTGTCGTGTCACCGAGTCAGCCGTGTGTCCTTGGTCATACACTCGTGACATTGTTTTTGCTGTGTTTCTGTCCCCGTTCTCGTGACGTCGTAACATTGTTTTGTTGTGCTGTGTTATAGATGGCCAACTTCAGTTTCATATCTCTCAACTATGTATCCGCCTGGGAGCTGGAGCCAGCCAGCCGGAACCACCACCGTTATGTGGCAGCCCAGTCCGGCAGCCGTGGAGCTGACGGCCTGCTGGCCTTGACCGCACGACGGGGCAGTGGAGGCTGGCGGGAGGCAGGGTCAGGAGAGACAGCCGCAGGCGGCTCCCCGGGCGCCAGGAGCCCTCCCGGCCGCCGGCCGGCTTGAGAGATGTTGGTCCGATGTGCTTTGTCTCACTCATCCATTGTGCTTTCTCTTTTGTTGTTCCACTCAGCGTTGCGAACCCACAACCACACTGTGCTTGCTTCCCATAACTCTACCCTTGTCTACACCAGTGAGTCTGCCTACTCAAATTTCTCTGCGACCGTAGGTGAGCACTGACGTCCCGTGTCCTGTCTTCCGTCCACTGTGCGTCTGCAATGAACTGAAAGACCTGGGTGAACTCATGCTGTCTCGGCTGCAAACAAATAAGCACTAAGGCCCGGGGCAGCGGCGAGACCCCGGGGTGTTCGAGACACCCACACGGGGCCCAGCCACAGGGAGCGCCACAGCTCTCCCAGGCTGCCAGGGGCTTCCAAGTCAACTGCTTGTTTTCAGAACAAAACAGACACACCATGAGGTCTTTGCTAAAAATAGAAGTGGCTCGGGTCGTTAAGCAGATTACAGTCTTTGGGGAGGAGAATATACCCTTTCCAGGGAAAATTAAAATGCCTCATCAAAAATTTGATCTGTTACAAACGTTAAAATCAGCATTTCTCCTGCAGCAGGATTTAAAAAAATCCTTAGAATCTGCTGTATGAGACACGCCCAGCAGCCACGACTAACTCGTGTGGCTGAGCGGCTGGCAGAGTGGTTCTGTTTTCGGGTGCAGCTCAAAGTCGGGGGGTGGTAGTGGCCGTCTTGGGTGGGTCCCACCAGGGCAGGAAGCCAGTTCTGTCGCGGATCTCTGCCGCATGCATCCTGATGGCTATCTCGGCTGGGAGGCGCGTGGCTTCCTAGCGCGATTCTGCCAGTCAGCCTGGCTTAGTTAGGGTCTACACAGCCTGAGTCAGGTGTCGGTCTGCTCGTTATCCCCTCCCTCTGAGACGCAGGTCTCCCCAACAGTGGGTGGGGTCAGCAGACACCAGAGGTGTGCGGCACAAGCCGTGCTGGGAGGCCCTGCGGGTGTGGTGAGCAGACCCCGCTCTCCCCGACGCCCTGGGCTGAGCTGACGCCCCAGGGCAGGCTTTCTGGGGGGCGGTCCTGGCGCCTGTGGTTCTCGGCGCGCAGCCGTCACATCTCTCCTGTGAACCACTGGCCTCCATGCTCAGTGCCAGGCGCATTTGCCTGGAAATAGGACAAACCCGAGGGCTGGCGAGGCGGTACCTCTGAACCGGGCCCTGGCCATTTGGTCTCGTGCTGGGCAGGCTCTCCCGGGACTGGCGAGTGAGAGTGGGCACTTGGGCCATGGTTCCTGGGCCCAGGAGCTTCCCACCAGAAGTGAGGAGCAGAGGGAGGGGAGGAGTTCCCCTGTGGCTCGCACCCGCCCTGAGCCGAGAGGGCTGCTGTGGGAAGCTCGGGAGAGGATGGGTGTGGGAAGGACTCCGACAGCTCTTGGTGCAGCTCGGGTCACTGGGTAAGTCCACGGTTGGCGGTGGCCATCTCACCAGGGCATGAGAACACACGATGCATAGTGATAGCGCGGTAATCGATAGGACCTAAGAGTGATTTATTACCCAACATTAGGCCTATAAATTCCTTACAGTTTAATGATTAACAAGTGCCCGTCCAAGCCATCAGTGTTAGTGTTGCAGGATGACATATGTGATTATAAAGACAACACCGTGTGCTCCTGTGTGAGCTGTGAGCCTGACGCGCCTCCAGACACCCGTCTCGTGGGTTGTTCATGTCCGATGTCGTTTTCTCGCTTAGACATCGTGGAAGGAAAGGTCAACAAAGGCATTTACCTCAAAGAGGAGAAAGGCGTGACGCTGCTCTACTACGGCAGGTACAAGACTTCGTGCCTGAGCGACCCGGCGCAGTGTGGCCCTGACGGTGAGTGAGTGACCCGGGGTTCCGCCCTGCGCATCGGCGTCAGGCAGCGCCTGTTCCCACGCCCAGCGCGGATGGGGGCCGCAAGTTCTCATTAATTGCAGGGTGCACCACGATGACGGCTGTGCCTGGGGCGGGGAGGGCTGGGGAGACAGCTGGGCGAGGGCTTGTCCTGGGGCCGGAAAGTCAGCACCGCGAGACGAAAACATAAATGAGGTCAAGAGTGAAGACGCCGTCCTTCAAACACAGACCCGTGGTGTCACGTGGGCCCTGGATGGGGAGGAAACGGATGGGGGGCTCACGGACCATCAGCTCTGGCTCTGAGAAGATTGAGGGGCAGGGAGGGCACGCCCGTTAGCCCCCGCACCGGTTTGCTTCTGGTGCTCATGGGCAGAGTGGCGTGACGGCGGAAGGAGGCGTCCCAGCCTGGGGCGGCAGCGACGCCATGGACAAAGCACACGTGCAGGGGACACAGGGAACTGTGTCGTCCTCTAGGTCCCTGTGAGGAGCCACCTGCCCTCCAGGCTGGGAGGTGTGTGGGCCGCTGTGGACGCGGTCCGGGACTTCAGTGTCCTCAAACCACGCCTGCGAGCCCCAGTCTCTCCTGCAGGATGAGATGTTAAATTCCGAGGAAGAAAAAGTTTGGTGCGAGCGCAGGGTTTTGGGCAGCAGACGGCCTCTGGGATGAGCTGGTTGCCGTGACCCTGGCTCTGTAGAAGCAAGCCGCAGCTTAGCGGGGTGAACCGCGGGAGGCTGCCTCTGGCCTCCGCGGAACCCGGGGTCTTGCAGCGTGGCTCTGAGCACCCTGGAAATGCACCTGGCTGGTTTATTTTTGCAGGTGAGAGTGGTGAGGACAGGGCAGCCAGGTCCCACGGCCCCTCCCTGCCCCCACCCCTCCTGCATCAGGTGGGTGGGCACTGTGCCCCTGCCCTCGCTGGGTTTCTGGGGAGTGGCTTCTCCTTGGGGTAGCGGCGCTGCTACACTGAAGTTATCTCGTTCGGGGGTGGGGAGGGCCTGGGTTCCGGGATTCCAGTGACGGGGACGATCCAGCCCCCAGCGCAAGGGAGCGCCGGGCCCCATCCCGGCCTGCCTTCCAGATCCGGCTCCCGCTTGGCCGGCAGTCTGCGTGCGTTTCCAGTTCTCTGCCCAGGTGGACGTCTCGGGTTCGGGATGACTCGTGTCGCTGGGTCGCAGCAGGTCAGGCGTGAGCAGGGAGGAGCTCCCATCATTTTCCAACCTGCAGCCCACGGAGGGCCCGTGCTGTGGGGTGGCTGCGACCTCACCCTCACACGACTGGCTCTGTGGACACGGCGTCCGTGGGTATCGCGCACAGCGAGACTCCCGCCGACCTCCTGGCCACTGCGCCGCAGGCGGTGTTCGGAGGGGCTGGGACTCATGGGCGGTTACGGCGGGAACGTGCCACGAGCCTCCTCCGCTCTTTCTGGTGAGGGCACAAACCGACAGCTCCAGGATTCCTGTCACGGGAGGGCAGCACGAGCCCCGCCCCAGGTCCACGGCTCGTCCGGGTCCCGTGTGGTCTCCGTTCTGGTGTGTGGAAGATGTGTTCAGTGGAGGTTTGAGCTTTTTGGAAAGAACAGACTTGAGGCCTGGGCAGCCCAGCAGCTGGGCGCCCCCGACCCCTCACCCAGCGGGCGGACGTCCCTCTCTGTGGCTCGTGTGCCACCGTCCACCATCGCCCCAGCCTCTCAGTCTGTGCCTTGCAGTCCCGAGCCGACGGTGGGTCCCGTCTTGCATTGAGGGTGTTCTGTGAGCAAGTCTTTCCGTGGTCACTGGCTGCTCCCGTCAGGTCGTGGGGGTGCACCGCGGGCCAGGTGAACCCCTCCGCCCCGTGTTCTCGTGGCTCCGTGGAGGAGAATGGCCTGCCCGCCTGTCCCTCGTGCTTGGCCTGTGGCTCTGTGAGGGCCAGGACTGGTCCAGTCTTGGCCAGCACTGAATTCCCAGGGCATAACCAGCACTTAGCATGTCACAGATGTCCGCTGATTGGTGGACAGACGCGTCCGGTCCAGCTGCCTTCCTGGTCTCAACTCCTGAGTACGCAGGCCTGCGTGGGACTCTAGGTTTTTGCAATTTTTTTTTCCCATGGGAGAAATGTGCAGGAGAGTGAGGGCTTTATTTAGGGGAGAAAGGGAAGTCCAGAGGCTAAGTTGGGTCCACACCAGGCAGAGAGCAGGCCGGGGAAGTCCAGAGGCTAAGTTGGGTCCACACCAGGCAGAGAGTGGGCTGGGGGTGAGCCGCGTGCCGCAGGCATGCATACGGGAAAGCAGGGAGTGGGCCGCCCGAAGGCAACGCGGCCTGAAAGCTCCGGGCAACAAGGGCAACCAAAGGGGGGCCCGTGCTCCAGGCCTTTCATCCGCTTCCGAGGGGGAGCGGTTATGTAGCCTGATTGGCAGGTGGGCGAACAGGCGGGGTCAGGCAGGGGCGAGGGATCGCACTGGAGCACGGTGAAGGCGTGGTGTTCCAGCTCACAGACCTAACCGGGTTTATCCTACCTGCCTGCATCGTGCCCCTCAGAGTCCAGCCCTTGACCCCGAGGGGTGTTGGAGGGCGTAGAATCATCGATCTCCTATGGCTGCTCCCTGCTCACGAGGGGCGTAGCTGCGACTGCTGCACGCGGAGCGCCTCGCGCCGAGGCAGAGCTGTCCGCGAGGTCCACCTGTCTGTCCACCTGTACCTGGAACTTGCTAGCAGGCAGAGCTGCCGGGTGGGGGTCCGCACACAGTAAAACACAGTTCAATGAAAGGAAACTGAAAGAGGTCACTCCTGGGGCTGACATACAAATTCCTGGGACGACTTTTCTTGCCGAAATAAAACCTCGGGTCGTGGTGGCTCAGGAAGAGGCAGCCTGTTCCCTCTCAGGACTCCTCTGGCTTTTAGAGCGTTCTTTTTTGTTTGTTTGTTTGTTTTGTTTTTTTTTGAGAGGCAGAGTGGACAGTGAGAGAGAGAGAGACAGAGAGAAAGGTCTTCCTTTTCTGTTGGTTCACCCTCCAATGGCTGCTGCAGCCGGCGCACCTCGCTGATCTGAAGCCAGGAGTCAGGTGCTTCTCCTGGTCTCCCATGGGGTGCAGGGCCCAAGCACTTGGGCCATCCTCCACTGCACTCCCTGGCCACAGCAGAGAGCTGGCCTGGAAGAGGGGCAACCAGGACAGAATCCGGCGCCCCAACCAGGACTAGAACCCAGGGTGCTGGCGCTGCAGGCAGAGGATTAGCCTAGTGAGCCACAGCACCAGCGGTTTTTGTCTTTTTAAAAAAGATTTATTTTGTTTATTTGAAAGTGTTGCAGAGAGAAGTAGAGAGGGAGATCTTCCATCCTCTGGTTCACTCCCCAGTTGGCCACAACAGCCAGAGCTGCGCTGATCTGAAGCCAGGAGCCAGGAGCTTCTTCTGGGTCTCTCACGTGGGTGCAGGGGCCCAAGCACTTGGGCCATCTTCTACTGCTACCCCAGGTGCATTAGCAGGGAGCTGGATTGGAAATAGAGCAGTTGGGACTTGAACCGGCACCCATATGGGCTACAGGCTGAAGCTGTCTCTTTTTTTTAAAGATTTATTTATTTATTTGAAAGTCAGAGTTACACAGAGAGAGGAGAGGTAGAGAAGGAGAGGTCTTCATCCATTGGTTCACTCCCCAATTGGCCGCAATGGATGGAGCTGTGCCAATCTTAAGCCAGGAGCCAGGAGCCAGGAGCCTCCTCCGGGTCTCCCATGGGAGTGCAGGGGCCCAAGGACTTGGGCCAGCCTCTACTGCTTTCCCAGGCCACACCAGAGAGCTCAATTGGAAGTTGAGCAGCCGGGACTAGAACCGGTGCCCATCTGGGATGCTGGTGCCTCAGGCCAGGGCATTAACCCGCTGCACCACAGCGCCGGCCTCCAGGCCGAAGCTTTAACCTGCGCCACACTGCTGGCCCCTGTATTTCTTTCTTTTTTTAATCTTGAGGGAAATGTCCTGTCACTTTAGTTTTGTCTAGATCAGGAGTTAATGCTTCTAAAGGAAAAAGGAGAGAATTAATTTGTGCATATTGTACTTGCTTGTTTCTCTCTCTCTTTTTTTTAAGATTTACTTTATTTGAAAGGCAGAGTTACGGAGAGGGAGAGGGAGAGGGAGAGGGAGAGGGAGAGGGAAGGAAGAGGGAGATGTTCCATCTGCTGGTTCACTCCCCAGATGGCTGCAACAGCCAGTGCTGGGCCAGGCTGAAGCCAGGAGCCAAGACTTCCCAGGTCTCCCACGTGGACGCAGGGGCCCCAGCACTTGGGTCATCTTTTGCTGCTTGTTAGCAGGGAGCTGGATTGGAAGTGGAGCAGCCAGGACTCAAACCAGTACCCATCTGGGATGCCGGTGCTGCAGGCGGCGGCTTCACTCGCTACACCACGCACCAGCTCCACGTTTCTTTTTCCTTCATGTTTTTCCTTCTTTGCAGTCATGAGCCGAGTTCATGAAAGGAAGCTCCTCAGAACGCCAATACTGAAGGCGCCTCGTGAATCCTTTAAGACTCCAAAGACGGCCGGCGCCATGGCTCACTAGGCTAATCCTCCGCCTGCTGTGTCGGCACCCCGGGTTCTAGTCCCGGTCGGGGCACCGGATTCTGTCCTGGTTGCCCCTCTTCCAGGCCAGCTGTCTGCTGTGGCCTGGGAAGGCAGTGGAGGATGGCCCAGCTGCTTGGGCCCTGTACCCCATGGGAGACCAGGAGAAGCACCTGGCTCCTGTCTTCGGATCAGCGTGGTGCACCGGCCGCAGCGGCCATTGGAGGGTGAACCAACAGAAAAGGAAGACCTTTCTCTCTGTCTCTCTCTCTCACTGTCCGCTCTGCCTGTCAAATAAATAAATAAAATAAAATAAAATAAAATAAAATAAAATAAAATAAAAGACTCCGCAGACCCCAGTCGGCGTCTGAGGATGAGCGCTCCCCCAAAGCAGTCGTCTTGGGGTAGGCTTGGCGGTCCACGCTTGCCCTCCGTCTGCACTTACCTAAAGCCACGCTGGGGATTGCGCGTTCTCTTTTCTTCCTGGACAGAAAGACCTCTGGCCAAGGCTGGGTCATTTTGAACCGAGCAAGAGGAATTTCTAAATGCAGCTAAGTTTTCTGGAAAAAATCGACATCCATGAGTCCCACTGGGAAGTCGTTTCATAACCAGTTTCACAACAGTGCTTTGCTCGCTTCCCGGGAGGTCGGGAGAGACAGGCAGGAAGGCGTGGGGCAGCTCTGCCCTGAGCAACCCGCTGGAGGCGGTCAGGCGTGGAGGAAGTGGGCTGGGCCCCCAGGCCCCGGGCCTCGCCCCTGGGCACACCCTTTGGTGGGGGCTGCTCTCTCATGGTCTAGAAAGGCCCAGGCCTCTTCCAGGGCTTTGAGCTTCCTCCTGTGCTCGGACAGGTGCTGCTGGTCGTGCTCCGTGTGAGCCGTGCCTGGGAGCCACCTGCCCGTTCACGGCCGTGCACACAGCGGCGAAGGTGTCATTCTGACTCAGCGGCTGTGGCTGCGTCTGCAACCTCGCTCTCAGGAAAGGGGCGCCGTTTGCCCCCCTGAGGCCCAGGGCAGACATGTCTCCACCTCTCCTCTCTGCCCTACCCCTCAGGCAGGGCAGGGCTGCCCCTCTGCACCCGAGGCTCTCTCCCTGTGGGGCCAGGCCCTGGGCCAGCAAGGGTTGGAACGTGTCTCCCACTCTCGTGCACGCAGTCCAGACGTGGCTGCATACCCAGGTGGGCATGCGTGCACATGCAATCTGCTTGCAGACCGAGAGAGGGCAGGGGGCACTGCTGCTGGAGACGGCGCAGCAGAGCAGAGGCGAGTGCAGGGAGGGGCCCACAGCCTCCAAGCCACAGGCGCCTTCCGCACACAGCGGCCACAGCCCGCTCCACCTGCGCCCGGCGGGGCACGGGCAAGCCGTGGAGGAGCGGTCCCTCGTTCTGATTCCCATGGTGCACTGGGAGCGGCCCTCTCCACGGCATGGGCAGCACCGGCCCCAGCTGTTAAGATCCCCCAGCGTGTGTGTCCCCCTCGAGTGGGCCCTGGAGGCGCATCCTCTGAGACGTGCAGAGAAATTCAGCTTCAAGTTCTTCTAGAATATTCCTGTAACATCCTGAAGAGAACCTTCAGCCCCGTGTCAGGGGCTGCTCACACAGCCTCCGGGCCAGGCCACATGTGACCAGGGGCACTGGGGAGCCGTGCCGGCTGTGCATCTCCAGGGAACCGTTTATACACCGGCGTGCTCCGGGGGGCTGCTTCCTCTGCCAGGTGTGTTTGGAGAAGGATTTCGGGGGGAGCCGTGCGTGTCCGGACAGCCGGAGGCGTGGGGAGGGTGGCTCGGTGCTCTGGCTCCCAGCACGGGGTGTGTGGGGCGACCTGGGGCCCAGTACCCCCAGTGGCTTCATTGCAGGACCGGGAGCGTGGGGGTTTTGGGACTCGGGGAGCCCTCGCTAGCCTTAGCTGGTGTTACCGCGGGCATCTTCTTTAGGACAAGCGAGACACAGTTTATGCCCAGTAGGGGGCTGACCTGCACCTTCTTCCCAGGGGTCACCTTCTCCTTCTTCTGGAAGACGCGAGGAGAGCAGTCCAGACCCGCGCCGCCCGCCTACGGGGGACAGGTCGTGTCTGATGGCTTCAGGGTCTGCTCCAGCGGCGGCAAAGGCTCCGTGGAGTTGTACACGCGTGAGAACTCCATGACGTGGGAGGCTACCTTCAGCCCACCAGGTGAGTGACGTCAGCCCAGGGACCACCCCGGCTGGGAGCCCGGGCTTGGGGTCCCTGGTGTGCGCAGGCTCCTGTCTTTTCAAGAGTTGCTCAGTTGCGCCTGGGCCCCGTGTGACCTGTTACGAAGCTGTCACCCTGTGGTCATGTGACTGGACCCTGCCTCAGTTTTCACATCTGTGCAGTGGAGATAACTGTAACAGTCCCCACCTCGAGGTGTGGGGAGATTCAGCGGAGTACTGAGCAAGGTGTAAGACGTGTGAGTGGTCGTCAGCTCCTCCTCCTCTCTGGTTCATTCCTGAAGGTGTTGAAACCCTGTTGAGAGCAAGCCTTGGGGAGGGAGGGGCTGCAGAGCGGAGCGCAGAGTGGGGGTGGGGTGGATGGCGAGCAGGCGGAGGACCAGAGGCGTGCGGGCCGGGGCACAGGCGGCTGTTGGTCTGGTTGGCTGATCTCTCGTTCTTCCGGGCAGGAGGTGAGAGGTGTGGGGAGGCTGGAGGAGGTCTGGGGTGCAGATGGGAGAAGGGAGGGGTGAGCAGGACTGGGAGGAGCCTCGGGGGCACGGGGGTGGGGAGCAGCAGGGAGGCCTGTGCTGGCCTCCTCCAGCTGCAAGGACAGCTCAGGATGACTTCAGGGCAGCTCCTTGTCCTGAGGGCGGCCGCAGAGCAAGTGGCCGCGCCTCTGCTCCAGGAGCCTGCGTGAGCGTGAGCGCCTCCCTCAGCTCCGGGTGCCTCGGTGTCCCCACGAGGGTGACAGGCGTGCCTCCAGGGTGGCTGTCAGTCAAGTGGGCCCAGAGCTCCAGCCTGCTGCGGGTCCTGTGCGTGCCTACTGTGCCCTGTCAGTGCTGCCTGTGCGCAGACCCAGCTTGTGCAAGTGGGAAGTCCATGAACTTGCACTTGGGTGTGTCCTCCCTGATCCCCAGACAAAACCTCTGTCCCCACGCACCCTCGACACAGAACTACCTGAATCTTGTCCATGATATTTTTTTAAGATTTATTTATTTGGGAGTTAGAGTGACAGACAGTGAGAGGGAGAGACAGAGAGAAAGAGCTACTGACCACTGGTTCATTCCCCAAATGGCCGAAATGGCCGGAGCTGCGCCGATCTGAAGCCAAGAGCCAGGAGCTTCTTCCTGGTATCCCATGCAGGTGCAGGGGCCCAAGGACTCGGCCATCTTCTACTGCTTTCCCAGGCCATAGGAGAGAGCTGGATGGGAAGAGGAACAGCCAGGACTAGAACTGGCATCCATATGGGAGGCTGGCACTGCAGGCGGAGGATTAACCTACTACCCCACAGCACTGGCCCATTGTCCATGATTTTTTTTTAGAGATTTTATTCATTTGAGAGGCAGAGTTACAGAGAGAGAGAGAGAGAGAGAGAGGTCTTCCATCTGCTGGTTCACTCCCCAGATGGCCAGACCTGAGCTGATCCAAAGCCAGGAGCTTCTTCCAGGTCTCCCATGCAGGTTCAGGGGCCCAAGCACTTGGCAATCCTCTGCTGCTTTCCCAGGCCATAGCAGAGAGCTGATCGAAAGTGGAGCAGCCGGGGCTAGAACCACTGCCTTTATGGGATTCTGGAGCTGCAGGCAGAGGCTTAGCCCACTATGCCACAGTGCCAGCCTCATCCATGATATTTTTAAAAAATATTTCTTATTCATTTGTGAAACAGAGCGAGATCTCCCATCTGCTTCATCCTCTGAATGCCCACCGCAGCTGGGGCTGGGGGTCAGTCCAGGTCTCCCCCGAGGGTGGCAGGAACCCACAGTGCACTTTAGCGGGAAGCTAGTGTCAGGGGTCGGGGCTGGGAGTCAAACCCAAGTACTCTGGTGTGGGAGGCAGGGGCCTTCGCTGCCAGGCCAAGCACCTGCTCCCGTGTGTGGGCCCGTGGCCTTCTTGACACCGGGGTTTCTTCAGTAAGCGTCTTCTCTCTCTGCTCCTCGGGCTGGTGGGACAGGGCCAGTATCCGGACCCAGGAGTCCACAGAATTTGAGTGCGTTTCAAGGTGCAGCCAGCTGAGCGCTGCCTGTTCCCCCCGGGGGAAGCCGGGAGCTTTGTCAGCGTCTTTGCCTGTCCTCGCTCTTTACTGGGACATGGAAGGGGTTCGCTATTGTTGTTTCAGACTCAAGTGCAGTGACCCCCGGGGCCTCTCTGGGGTCCAGCTGTTGTCCAGAGACTCACAATTATCGGAGTTGCGCGGTCGTGGCCAGAGGCCCTGACATGGCTGGTGGGTGAGCAAGGTGACTGCTAGGTGCGGGTGACACACGTGCTCTCAAAGGGCGGTGCAGCCCGTGAGGACGCCTGGACACAAACGTGTGCAGGACAGAGGGGCCCCTCCTGGGGACAGCTGCCTTCAGAGTCTGCCGGGTGCGCTTGCTGACGGGCATGGTTCTTGTGCCGGCACAGGAGAGAACAAAGGCCCATCAACGGTGTTTCCTGAATGAGCCCGGAGGGTGGCCTCACCTGCCAGGTGTCCACCACGTTGGTTAGCATCACACACGCGTGCGCAGTGCATACACACGCACATGCACACACGCACACGCACACACATGAACACCCACACACACACATGTGCACACACACATGCACACATACATGCACATGCACACACACGCACGTGTGCGCACACACATACACACACGCACACACACATGCGCACACATACACGTGCACGCACACACATGCTGAGCTCAACACCGGTGGCCGGGGGCTGGGTGCGGCCCCTGGGTGGGTTTTAGGGTCCTGCACGCGATTGCTTAGGTGATATTTAAAACCTGTCTTGAATGAGCTCTATTAGTCGTGATTTTATCTGCAAACCAGCAGTCTCCGGTTTCTCTTGGAGGTTGAGGAGAGTAGTGACATGGAGGCCTTGTGTTTTGGGTTAGGGACGGGGGAGGCGCTGCCTGCCCTGGGCGGGGGCAGCTGCCCTCCGTGCCTTGTGGTCGGCGCAGCACCGGGTCCTCCACGCAGGGAGTTCCTGTGCTCACCTTCACCCCGCCCCTGTAGGCGGGGCTTGCGGGTCTGTTACTATTGTCTTAGTCGACTTTATTTCTTAGCGCAGATTTAATATCTATTTATTTGAAAGGCAGAGCAACAGAGAGGGAGAGACGCAGCAGCAGAACTGCAGAGCAGCCAGGGCTGAGCCAGGGGCTCCCTCCCGGTGTCCCACATGAGTGCCAGAAACCGTCACAAAGCAGGAGGCTGGAGCAGAGGCGGAGGCGGGTTTGAACCCACGCACTCCAAAATGGGAGGTGGCATCCGGGTGGAGGTGGCCTGCTGAGCCTCAGCGCCCGCCCCTTACCACAGCTCTAGACTCACGGCAAGACCGAGGGCAGTGTCCCCACGCAGCCCCTTTCCCTACGCACACCATCAGCATCCTCCCCACGTGGGCGGGTCTTTGTCCCCTCAGTCCCCAGCGTCCGTCAGCACTCACCCTTGAGTTGTGCATTCTGTAGGTGGTGAGGGGTCTGCCTGGAACCTCTGCTGGCGGTAGCTGGGTGGGCTGTCTTCTCCTCGCTGGGTATATTTCTGATAAGAGTCCTTCTTCGCATGTCTTTTGCTGCATTTCCTGCTAGCCCGAGACTTACCCACGCACTCTCCTGTGTCTCTCACAGAGCAGAAGTGTACAGCTTTAACGCTGTCCAGCTTGTCTCTTCCATGGGTTGTGCCTTTGGTGCTGTATCTAAAAAGCCCTCACCAAACCCGTGTGCGTTTAGGTGTGCTCCTGCTATCTTTTAGGGGTCTTAATTGTTTTTGCATTTTAGGTTTAGGTCTGTGACCATTTTGAGTTTCTTGGTGAGGTGGATGTGAGGTCTGTCTGTAGATTCTTCTGTTGTAGTTGCATTTGAATGTTCATTTGTTCCTGTACCACTAGTTGAAGGTTACCGTTGTCCCACCGCATTGCCTTTGCTCCTCTGCCAAAGGTCAGGTGATGGGGGTAGGCATGTGGCACAGCGGCTCGAGCTGCCGCTTGGGACACCTGCGTCCCGTATAGAGCGCCAGTTCAAGTCCCAGCTATTCTGCTTGTGATCCAGCTTCCAATACTGCTCCTGGAAAGGCAACGGAAGATAGCTGAAGTCCTGGGGCACCTGTCACCCACGTGGGAGACCTGGGTGGACTGTCTGACTCCTGGCTTTGGCCTGGTCCAGTCCCAGCTGTTGCAGCTGTTTGGGGAGTGAACCAGTGGATGGAAAACCTCCCTCCCTCTGTGACTCTGCCTTTCAAATAATCTTAAAAACATCAGTTGGCTGTATTTTTGTTAGCCTCTCTCTGGGCTGTTTATTCTGTTCCATTGATCTATTGGCCTGTGTCCCCTATTGCACTGATTACTGTAGTAGAACAGGAAGTCTTGAAGCCAGGGGTGCCAGTCCTCTGTCTTCAGCAGTGTGCGCTGTTCTGGGTGTCAGCCTCCACATAAGCTTTAGATTCCGTTTGCTGATACCCATAAAGTCACTCCCTGGGATTTTGATTGGGATTGCACTGAACAGATGGATCCGTTTGGGAAGAATCAGCATCCTGGCAGTATGGAATCTTCCTATCCATGAACATGGGCCATCTCTCTATTTATTTGCCTCTTTTAAAATTCTTTCATCAGAGTTTTATAGTTTTCCTAGGATAGTTCTTATGTATGTTTTGTTAGAGTTATACCTAATTATTTCTTTCTTTTTTTTTGGTACTCAAGTAAATAACAATTTAAAAAATAAGGTTTGGCTACTTATGCACATTTTCCCTTCTAGTTAACTTTACTTTTTTCCTTTTTTAAAATAGAGAAATATACTATACTCACCCTCCTGTGTCACAGAACCCCAGAGCTTCTTACTGCTGTCTAACTATAACAGTTGTCCATCCACCTGTCCACCTGTCCACCTGTCCACCAGCCTTCCCCCACCCCTTCCTCCCCACTTCTCTCTCCAGCCTCTGATAGCCACCATTGTATTTTTAACTTATGTGAAATCACTTTTTTTTTTTAGATTCCACATATGAGTGAGATCATGTGGTATTTGTCTTTCTCTGCTTGGTTTATTTAACTTAACATATGACCTCCAGTTCCATTCATGTTGGAACAAGAGTTCATGCTTTTTTTCACAGCTGAGTAATATTCCATTGTGTGAATGTACCACATTTTGTTTATCTGCTAGTTGACAGATGGACACTTGGGTTGCCTCCAGTTATCAGTTATTGTGAATAGCGCCGCAGTGAACACGGAGTGGATGGGTTTCATCTCCCCCAGATGTGTGCCCAGAGGTGGACGCTGGGTCATGTGGTGATCCCGGCTTCAGTTTCCCGAGGAAGCTCCACACTGTCTTCACGATGGCTGCGCTGACTTGCAGCACTGCCGACGGGGCTGCACGTGCTTCCTTTGCTCCCATCCTCACCAGTGCTTGTTGTCTTTGTGTTTTTGATAATTGCTGATCCTGCTCGGATGAGGTGATGTCCGTCTCACTGTGGTTTGGGATCAGCGGTTCCCTGATGACTAGTTCTAGTGAGTGTTTATCTACCTTTGGCTACTTGTTTGTATTCCTTTGAAAAATGTCTGTTTAGGTCTACTGCCCATTTTAAAATTGGAGCATTGTTCTCGCAGTGGAGTTCCTTAAACATTCTAAATACCAACCACTTGTCAGACGTCTGTCTCAGAACTATCTCCTCCCGTCTTGTCGTCTTGTCGTTTTTCTTAGCTCTGTTGGTTGTTTTGCTGTGCAGAAGCTCTTGAGTTTGATGAAATCTCATTTTGCATTCATTTCCTGTGCTTTGGGGCTGACTTAGGAAATCGTGCCCATTCCCATTTCCTGAAGTGCTCTCCTCTGGTTTCTTGTCGCAGTTTTAAATCTTCAGGTCTCACAGGTAGGTCTTTGACCCATTTTCAGTTAGATTCTGGGCAAGGTGGGCTCGTGGGCTAGCTTCCTTCTTCTGCGTGTGGATATCCCAGCACCATTTATCAGAAACCCCGTTCCCTTTGCAGTGCGTGCGATCCACAGCTTTGTCGGAGACTGGCTGGCTGGAGGTGCGCGGCGCTCGGCTGCTCTCCCAGGGCTCCTGTCTCTCCCGTTGGCCTTTGCACCTGTGTGTGCCTCTACCACGCTGTTTTGATTATTGCACCTTAGCAATTCAATTTTTTAAAGATTTATTTGTTTATTTGAAAGTCAGAGTTACACAGAGAGAGGAGAGAGAGAGGGGGAGAGAGAGGTAGCGAGAGAGAGAGAGAGGTCTTCCATCCAATGGTTCACTCCCCAATTGGCTGCAACGGCTGGAGCTGCGCCAATAAGAAGCCAGGAGCCAGGAGCTTCTTCCAGGTCTCCCATGCGGGTGCAGGGGCCCAAGCACTTGGGCCATCCTCCACTGCTTTCCCAGGCCACAGCAGAGAGCTGGATCAGAAGAGGAGCAGCTGGGATGCCAACTGGAGCCATATGGGACGCTGGTGCCACAGGCGGAGGCTTAGCCCACTACGCCTCAGTGCCAGCCCCAGGAGTCGACTTTCGCACGTTATCTTTGTATCCTGCAATCTTGCTATGCTCGTTTATTGTGTATAGAGGATATGCATATATACAGCACATGTACACGTTTCGGTAGGATGTTTGGTTGTTGGTGATCCCTCCTGGTTTTCTACGTAGGCCTGCACTTCCTCTGTGGTCAGGGCAGCTGTCTTGCGTTCTTTCCAATCTGTGTCCTTCAGTGAAGACTTCTGTGTGGTGAAGGGACAACCCCACCGTGTCTCTGACCACGCTGGTCTTTGCAGCCGGGTGATGGTCTGGTTGATGCTCTGCTCTTCCCTGAAGCATTTTCTCTCCTTTCCTCGCAGGCATTGCGTTTGTGACTCCTGTATTCAAGCAAGGGACTTCTGGAACGGCCCTTGCAGCTTTCCTTCTTGTGCTCCAAGGAGCTGAGGGGAGTCAGGCCCATATCCAGGCTCCCAGAGTTCCCCGTGAGCTGTCACCTTCAGGAAGAGGAGAGACCTCAAAGTCCTGGGGAGACACGGGCCCAGGAGCGCGACCGCGGCGCACTCAGACTGGCTCCTTCCCTCTCTTCCAGGGCCCTACTGGACTCACATCCTGTTCACGTGGAAGTCCAAGGAGGGTCTGAAAGTGTACGTCAACGGGACCCTGAGTACCTCGGATCCAAGCGGAAAAGTGTCCTATGCCTACGGGGAGCCCAGCGTCAACCTCGTGATCGGGTCCGAGCAGGACCAGACCAAGCGTTACGAGAACGGCGCTTTCGACGAGTTCATCATCTGGGAACGGGCCCTGACTCCGCACGAGGTCGCCATGTACTTCACAGCCGCCATTGGTCAGTGAGCGGGGAGGGCTGTGGGCAGGGCCGGCGCCGGTTCCTGGGGGCACCCGTTTCCCTCCCCCTTGCCAGCGTCTTCTCCCACGCACCTGTTACAGCCCCGCAGGCGTGGGGTGGGCCCCAAGGGACCCCTGTCAGCACCTGTGCCCTAACACAGAGGGAACGAGTTTTGTCCTGCTCCCCATCACGGTGTCCAGGTGCACACAGTCAGTGCCTGCAGAGGGCGCTGGAGAGCAGGCAGCCCAGGTCCTCAACGCATCTGATCCACACGTATTTCCCTGGGACTCCCGAGTGCCAGGCTCTCTGACGGGTCCTGGGAGAGCCCCAGGGATGCCTCTTCCTGCTCAGCACAGAGCAGCTACTCAGAGCAGGGCCTGGGTTCAAATCTTCACTGTGTCAGGAGGAACCATGAGACTTCGGGAAGCCATTCTCTTTGAGTCGGGGAGAGGGACACACAGCGTCCACTCGGGCGTTTGAAAGGCAGCCATCGGGCAGCCTGCAGTAAGTTCGTGGTGTGGTGTAGCTCACCATCGAGGGAAACCCACACCTGTCAAGCAGTCCTCCGTGCCCCCCTGGCTGGCCCCGCCAGCATGGGTCTGCTCTCCACCCTGGGGTTTGCTTCTTCTTCTTCTTCTTTTTTTTTTTTTTTTTTTTTTTTTTTTTGACAGGCAGAGTGGACAGTGAGAGAGAGAGAGACAGAAAGAAAGGTCTTCCTTTTCCATTGGTTCACCCTCCAATGGCCGCCACGGCCGGTGCATTGTGGCCTGCGCATCAAGCTGATCCAAAGCCAGGAGTCAGGTGCTTCTCCTGGTCTCCCATGGGGTGCAGGGCCCAAGCACTTGGGCCATCCTCCACTGTGCTCCCGGGCCACAGCAGAGAGCTGGCCTGGAAGAGGGGCAACCGGGACAGACTCCGGCGCCCCTACCGGGACTAGAACCTGGTGTGCCAGTGCCGCAAGGCGGAGGATTAGCCTATTGAGCCACGGCGCCGGCCAGGATTTGCTTCTTACGGATGCTGCATCCAAACAGAGTCATGGAATGCACAGCTTTGGCCTCCGTCTCACATCACGGATTTTTCCTGCACGGATGGATGAGCCTCCTCTGGGCAGTGCCGTGCAGATAACTGGTGAGGGGGTGTGGGAGGCCCGGGCGCAATGCCCGACTCAGGCTGTACGTCCAGCAGGTCTTTGCTTCTTTTAAAATGAATACCCAGGGGCAGGCCTTCCCCACAGTTGTACCACCACGTGGGATGCCCCCATCCCCTGTCAGAGTGCCTGGTCCAGCTGCCTGCTAATGCTCACCCTTGGAGGCAGCTCACCCTGGGGTCCCTGCCACCCATGTGGAAGACCTGTGTTGTGGACCAGGCTCCTGGCTTTGGCCTGGCCCAGCCCCAGCTGTTGCGGCCATTTGGGGAGTGAACCAGGAGATAGGTGGAACACCTCTGTCTATCTCTCTGCCTTTCAAATAAATAAAATGCAGAAATTCATATTGACTCCCCTGTTCAACTGTATTTTCGTTTTTCCCATAAGCAAATGCCCTGTTTCTGTTCCTCCAAGGAGAACAGGGATGGCACACGGGTGTCTCAGACACCTGCGGGCTGCATGCCCTGCAGGGCAGTGGGCCGCTCAGGGCAGGCAGGGGAAGGCCCCCTCAGCTTCCCAAGTCGAGTTCTTTACTTGTTAGGATTCTGCTGATTGTGCGAGAGAAAACTCAGCCCCCAAGGCTTCAGCCATCTCGCACTGGGCGGGGGTGGCTCAGGACTGGTGCCATGCGGGCGCTCCCGGGGTGGCACCAGGCGTCTCTGGTTTTGGCCCTGCCTGCCTTCCTGTTAGCATCTGTGGCCCCCCAGGGTCACATCCTCACCCTCAGCAGCCTCCGCAGAGAGGAGAATGGGAGTTTCTCTTTCCTCTGGTTTCCCACACCAGGGCCAGGCATGTCTCGTTGGCCCAAATGGAGCTGTGCCTCGCTTTTGAAAGTAAAGGTTGGCCAGCGCCGCGGCTCAATAGGCTAATCCTCCGCCTGTGGCACTGGCACACCGGGTTCTAGTCCAGGTTGGGGTGCCAGATTCTGTCCTGGTTGCTCCTCTTCCAGTCCAGCTCTCTGCTGTAGCCTGGGAAGGCAGTGGAGGATGGCCCAAGTGCTTGGGCCCTGCACCTGGCTCCTGGCTCCTGGCTTCGGACCAGTGCAGTGCGCCGGCTGCGGCCGCCATTGGAGGGGGAACCAACGGCAAAAAAGGAAGACCTTTCTCTCTGTCTCTCTCTCTCTCACTGTCCACTGTGCCTGTCAAAAAAAAAAAAAAAAAGTAAAGGTTTATTTATTTTTATTTGAAAGGCAGAGTTACAGGGAGAACAAGAGCAAGAGATCTTGCATTTGCTGGTTCACTCCCCAATGACTGCAGCGGCCGAGGCTGGGCCAGGAGCTTCATCTGGGTCTCCCATGTGGGTGGTCCAAGCACTCGGGCCATCATCCAGTACTTTCCCAGGTACATTAGCAGGGAGCTGGATCGGAAGTGGAGCAGCTGGGACTTGAACCAGCACCCATATGGATTGCCAGCATTGTAGGCGGAGGCTTCCCCTGCTGCCCCGCATCACCACCCCATCCCTGGGTCTTCTCGGCGTCGACTGTTGTGCCTGGGGCTGTGAAATGCTGACTGGATGTTCCTGGGCCAGAGTCGCCCAGATGTGGCAGGGAGACCAGCCTCGTCTAACACACGGAGCAGAGAGGCTCCCGCAGGAGGGTCGTTGGCGCTGGTGTCGGAGAGGGAGCCGATGCCGGGCAGGCGCTGGCGTCGGAGAGGGGGCCGATGCCGGGCAGGCGCTGGCGTCGGAGAGGGGGCCGATGCCGGGCAGGCGCTGGCGTCGGAGAGGGGGCTGGTGTCGGAGAGGGGGCCGATGCCGGGCAGTTGTTGGCGCTGGTGTGGGAGAGGGAGCCGATGCCGGGCAGGCGCTGGCGTCGGAGAGGGGGCCGATGCCGGGCAGGCGCTGGCGTCGGAGAGGGGGCCGATGCCGGGCAGGCGCTGGCGTCGGAGAGGGGGCTGATGCCGGGCAGTTGTTGGCGCTGGTGTGGGAGAGGGAGCCGATGCCGGGCAGGCGCTGGTGTCGGAGAGGGGGCCGATGCCGGGCAGGCAGAAGCAGCCGTGTCCTCTGCAGCCTTGGGCGACCCCTCCTCCCACCTGCGCCTGGAAAGACAGAACTCTTACCCTTCCTTTCACAGCAGTGACGTAACAAATACTATGTGTTTCAGGATGAGAACTCACTCCACTGCTTTTCTTTTCTTTTTAAATATTTATTTATTTATTTGAAAGGCAGAGTTACAGAGAGGCAGAGGCAGAGAGAGAGGTCTTCCATCCACTGGCTCACTCCCCAAATGGCTGCAACAGCTGGAGCTTAGCTGGTCCGGAGCCAGGAGCTTCTTCCAGGTCTCCCACGCAGGTGCAGGGGCCCAAGGACTTGGGCATCTTCTACTGCTTTCCCAGGCCACAGCAGAGAGCTGGATCGGAAGTGGAACAGCCAAGACTCGAACTGGCACCCATGTGGGATGCCGGCACTGCAGGTGGCGGCCTTACCTGCTGCACCACAGTGCCGGCCCCTCGACTGTTTTAAATCGCCGAGGACTCAGAGCTGTCCCTTTGACACCAGGATGCACTTGTGTTTCCGTGGGAAGGCCAGGTTTCTAAATACGCCTTCCTCATGGCTCACTGATTTCGTGACGTGGGGAAGGGGAGCCGCTGTTTCTGGTTCTTGGAGCTAGCACAGGGGGATCTCAGCTCAGGCCCCTCTGACCCCTGCCGTTGGTGGAGGTGACATCCCATTCTTGGGGGGACTCTAGAGGGATGTTCCATGAACACCTGTAGCCCCAGAAGTTCAGGCCCTGCACAGTCCCTGAACAAATCCCACACGCCATGGTGATTTGGTTTTTGAGAAGGGGGTGATGGATGTGTGGGAAAAAGCACCCTTGGGGCCTCTGTGTGGGGCCTGGTGTGTCCAACAGAGTGGGCCCGGGCAGCTGTGCAGACCCATCCAGAACAGGAACCCAGGCTGCTCTTGCCGGGCCCTGCCCAGGGCGCCGTGGCCGCAGGACCCGGGAGACCTTGCAGCTGCGCTGAGCTTGCCCGCAGAGGAGAGTTCCCCTGAGAGGCCTCGCCGGTCCTGTTAGCCCGAGCAGATCAGACTGTCCACTCATACACAGGCCACTGCCTGTCATCCTGGCCAGGTCCCTGTCCCCAGCTGGAATGCGTAGGGGCTCCCTCTGCCAAGAAGCAGGGGCCAGTGGACGGCTCCACAGCGGGCCGTGTGGCTGGCGAGCCGGTGTCTGCAGGTACTGAGAGCACAGGCCACCCAGCAGGCCACGGGAGCTGAGCCAGGCTGCAGGCGTGGGCACGGTGGCCAGCTGATTTTCATTCTCTGCTTGCGCGTGGATTCACACGAGGTCCGTGAGTGTGATGTGATTCCCCGGTCACTCCTTGGTGCCCGCGGAATGAACGTCACTCTCAGGTGGAGGACAAAGCAGTCCTGGGGCCCGGCTGTTCCATCAGCGTCACACCTCCCGCACCCCCTGGGCACCCAGCCCCGCCCGAGCTCAGGGATCTGTCACAGCTGCGGCCAGCAAGGGCTGCTGCCACCAATTCCTCAGGTCACCCAGGGTGACCCGGAGAGAGAGCCCAGCTGAAGCAGAACGCTCGCTGCGTCTGCGTTCTCACCGGGAAACGTGGGGTGAGCGGGGAGAACGCGGAGGCCGTGTTGGAGCCTGGGTCTCGACGGCTTCCCTGTCGGGGACTTCACAGCTCTCCGTGTGGAGTCTGGGAGCAAAGCAGCCAGGGTCCTCGGCGCAGGTGAGGGCTCGGGGCCACCGCCACCGCCTCCCTGGGCCCCCCGCTCTGCTGGGCGCTCCTGTAGGAAGGGGCTCCCAGGCCCTGCCTCCCCGACCCAACCTGAAGCCAGGCTGCCTCTCGACTAAGTGGCTTGGACGCAGCTCAGGCCTCTGCTGGTTCCTTCTTTGGAATTGGTTGGGCTTTATATAAAATCGCTTTTTCACCTGATGACTTCCAGCTAGAATGTAAAGGGACAGATCTGCCCTGGGACACAGGTGCGGCCCGCGCCCGCCCCTCGGCTGATGTCTTAGCCGCGGCCTGTCCAGAACCCTTCGCTTACCTGCTGGGACCCTGCCTGCTCTCGCGGCTGCGTCGAGGACAGGCCTTCCCGAGCGACCGTCGCATCCCTTGCCTAGTCAAGCATCCGTTGTTTTTCTTCCCCCCAGGAGAGCATGTTTTGCCGTCTTCAACCCTGCCCAGCTACTTCACGACTCCCGCGGCAAACGCCATGGTGAGCAGCCCCTCGCGGGTCCCTTCTGCCTCGAGCCCGTGCCCTGAGAGTGAAGGCCGCCGGGCAGGTGGGCTGCACTCCCCTAGCCGTGGCGTGTCTGGGAGAGGAGGTGGGGGGAGGGAGCTTCAGGCCGCGTCCGGGTGCTGGGAGAGAAACCCTTGGTTCTTGGGGACGGCGGCCTCGGGCGCGTCGAGGGGGAAGGAGGCTGCTGGGCTGAGGGGCGCTGAGGTCCACCCTGGGGACTGGGGCAGCACGGGCACAGCGCGTGGGGGCAGAGGGCTCTCGGCATGAGGGGCGCTGAGGTCCACCCCAGGGACTGGGGCAGCACGGGCACAGTGCGTGGGGGCAGAGGGCTCTCGGTGTGAGGGGCGCTGAGGTCAGCTCGCGGGGGGGCACCAAGGAGCCGGGCCCAACGCGCAGCTTCACCCCACATCCGTGTCGTTGGCTCCTGGAGGACAGAAGCAGCTGCGACAGGTGTCCTGCTGGAATTAGGTGTGGTCAGTGCAGAGCCCTCCTCTCTGAGGCCCTTAAGGGACCAGGGAGAACATGGGCCGCGGCTGGGTCCAACCCCAGGTCCCCACTCATCTGTGTGTGCGTCTCATCTGCGTGTGCGTCTCATCTGCGTGTGCGTCTCATCTGTGTGTCTCATCTGTGTGTGCGTCTCATCTGTGTGTGCGTCTCATCTGTGTGTGCATCTTATTTGTGAGTGTGTCTCATCTGTGTGTGCCCTCCATCTGTCAGAGGGCACCCAGCAGCAGTGTGTGGTGAGGGTGCGTGTTAACATCTGCGCTCTGCAGGTTGTGGTGAGGGTACATGTTGTGTATGTGTGTAGATTGTGGTGAGGGTGTGTGTTGTGTCTGTAGGTGTGGTGAGGGTGTTGTGTGTGGAGGTGTGGTGAGGGTGTGTGTTGTGTGTGGAGGTGTGGTGAGGGTGTGTGTTGTGTGTGGAGGTGTGGTGAGGGTGTTGTGTGTATAGGTGTGGTGAGGGTGTTGTGTCTGTAGGTGTAGTGAGGGTGCGTGTTGTGTGTGGAGGTGTGGTGAGGGTGCGTGTTGTGTGTGGAGGTGTGGTGAGGGTGCATGTTGTGTGTGGAGGTGTGGTGAGGGTGCATGTTGTGTGTGTCCGTATGTGTGGTGAGGGTGCGTGTTGTGTCTGTAGGTGTGGTGAGGGTGCGTGTGTGTGTGGTGTGTGTGGAGGTGTTGTGAGAGTGCGTGTTGTGTGTGTCCGTAGGTGTGGTGAGGGTGTTGTGTGTGGAGGTGTGGTGAGGGTGTGTGTTGTGTGTGGAGGTGTGGTGAGGGTGTGTGTTGTGTGTGGAGGTGTGGTGAGGGTGCGGGTCTACACACACAGCGCTCACGGAAGCGCTGGGCTGAGCAGGTGCTGTGCCGTGACTGGTGGCCTGGCAGCACGGAGTCGGCAGCCGGCAGGAGGCACTTCTGTGCGCCTCTGGCTCTGCACCGGGCAGGAACTCACGGGCCGCATCCTGCAGGTGCCCACCGATGCCTACCTGCCTGTCATAACCAACCTGACGGAGGAGAGGAAGTGCTTCCAGCACCCTGCTGTGGTCCTGCCCTACCTGCAGAACGTGTCCCTCAGCCTGCCCCACCAGGCCCTGTCGGAGGAGACGGCCCTGAACCTCACCCAGGTGAGGCTCTGCCCCGCTGCCAGCCACGGCCCTCGCGCGTGTTCTGCTGGGACGACACGGAGTTCTAAGAAACCGGGCGCTCTCCCAGGAAGCCTGTGCCGCTCACGCATAGCCGGGGGGCGAGACACTGCGCAGGGGCCTCCCTCGCTAGTGCCTGGTCTCTAGTGCCTTCCCCGCCAGAGGCCCTGGGTTTGCAGCTCCGGCTCGGAGCTCTGCCGCAACAGGCAGGAGGCGGAGCCAGGTGGTTGGCGGCTGCCATCGGGGCCCCAGACCGCAGTGTGCGCCACGGGAGTCTCCGAGGTTCTTGAACGTGCTTAGTGAATGCGACACGCGTGGTGCTGCAGGCAGAGCCGTTCTCCAGGTCCCTGCAGGGCTGGGTGGAGGGTGCTGTGCACAGACGCCCCTGTCTCGGCTGTGCACAGACACCCCTGTCTCAGTTTAACCCCAACCCTAACCCCACAAGCCTCAGTTTACCCGTCTGTGATGTGGGGAGATTTAGGTCCCCCAGGGGTCCCTCAGTTGTGACCATGAGCAAAACCAGCCTGGCCACGAGGGCACCTGCTCCACGTGGACGCCGGCCTCAGCTCTGGCTCTACCTGTGCCACACACACGCCAGGGCTTGCTGGTCTGCACCAGTCAGGCGTCAGCACGGCAAGTGCCACTTCCGGGAACCGTGGCAGCCAGGCAGACGGCGCCCTGCCGTTCCAAGGCCCTGCTCCCAGCCCGACTCCTCCTGCCCGTGTGTAGGAAGGCAAGGCTTGTTGACGCTCCTTGCCCAAACTGCTGTATCTCATTGGCCAGAGCTGGGTCACGTGACTTCCCAAGGGGCTCAGGGTTGGCCTGGTTGCTCAGACAGTCACACAGGAGCTCCTGGGTGGGGCTGAGGCTGCTCCTGTGAGTCTTCCTGGTGCCCACAGGGTGGGCCGTGGGCAGTGTTGGGTGGAGAAGGACTGAACTGGGACAGTCTCATGTCATCATGCACATCCGGTCTCTCACGTGAGTGGCAGGGGCCCAGACACCTTTCCCAGGCCATCAGCAGGGAGCTGGTTTGGAAGTGGGTCAGTGGCGACTCAAACTGGTGCCCATGTGGGATGCCGTCGTCACAGGCAATGGCTTTACCTGCTACGCCACAGTGCTGGCTCCCTCCTTGTGAGTACTGAGCCGGCTTCAAGGGGTTGCCATGACAGCTGACGCTCCACGCACGTTCACTCTAGCCCGAGGCCCCCTCTGAGTGCAGTGGTGACCGTGAAACCTCCTTACAAGGTGTGCAGGGCACTCACGGGGCCCATCTGTGTTTCCTGTGTCTGGGGAAGAAGCTGGCTGGCGCGGGCTCCTGACTCAGCACTGAGAGACGGTGACTCGGCACGCGCCTGAGGGTGGCTGCTTAGCGGCCTTGGAGCGGGCAGTCTGCCGTGCCACAGCTGGTTGCTAAGTGCTCTGGCCCGGTGCTGGGGGGGGCGCTGGGAGCCCAGCTCCGCTCCTGCCCTCTCTGGGCTTGTGGCCGTCGGTGGGGTGCTGGGCCTGAGGGTCACTCCCCAGAATCTCCCAGAAGTCCGTATCTAGGCGGGCCTGGGACACACCGTGAGGACACAGCACCACCGCCCGGCTCTGATCCTGTTGCTGATTGGACGGGCCTGTCTTGTATGTGGCGTGTGGAGGTGGCACGTAGACATGAGATGGACAGGTACAAACTCTCGCGCTGCCAAGCTGTGGGCCAGGGAACAGCAGAGCCGGCAGGAGCCGGGCCAGGCACGCAGGTCAGAGCTCGGTCGAGGCCTGAGCAGCCTGCTCTGCAGGGCCCAGGTGTGGTTGGGGGTGGTTGGGGGTAGCAGGGAGAATGAGGTGAGGGGCGCTGAGGCCGCGGCTGCTCCACACCCTCTCTGGGACTGTATTTTGCAGCAGATGGCTCAGGGCAGGTCCGTGCGGGATTCGCTTGGTGAATTCCTCGTTCCCTGATGCTCTCTTTCCTCTGCATTAACCTGACACAGTCAGAAACTACAAATGCAGGTGCCCTCGGGGCCGGACAAACAGCACAGATGTGTGCAGTGGGCCAGACATAAGCGACAGGCGCAGACGCGCAGACCACCGCTCACGGCTCCTCTGCAGAGAGCAGTCGCAGCCGCTACTCAAACGTTGGCTGTAGCCTTCAGGGTTGCCTCTGCTGGTTTGTCAGGAGAGGCTCATTTTTCAAATGGATTTTTCAAATGGGAAATCTTCCAGATTTAAAAAGTGGGCCGCTGATTTCTTGGAAAAGAAATTACGTGCGGACCAGATGAGCGACATCAGGGAGGCTTGGCCATGCGTGGCTCGTCTGTGGCTGCCTGCACCTCCAGGCATCAGGTGCCTGGCCCAAAGAGCCGGGACTCTGAGAAGGCTGCTGACCCAGCGAGGGCAGCAGGGGTCAGGGCCACTGTTCTGTGTCTGGCTGCTCCAGGGCGGCCCGGCAGGGTCTTGCCTGAGGTTTGTACGGTGAGGATGAGCAGAGGAGCCAGGGACTTCGCTGCTGTCCTCTCTAACCGGTATCTGAACGCGTGAGGCAGAAAACGGTGTCTGCACACTGCCATTTGCGGGGGTCTCAGGAGGTGTAGCCCCGGCCCTGCATTCTAAGTCTGTCTGGAGCCATTTGCCGGGGTCTCGGGAGGTGTGGACCAGGCCCTGTGTTCTAAGTCTGTCTGGAGCTGTTTGCTGGGGTCTCGGGAGGTGTAGACCAGGCCCTGTGTTCTAAGTCTGTCTGGAGCTGTTTGCGGGGGTCTCGGGAGGTGTGGACCAGGCCCTGTGTTCTAAGTCTGTCTGGAGCTGTTTGCGGGGGTCTCGGGAGGTGTGGACCAGGCCCTGTGTTCTAAGGCTCAGTCTGGAGCCTGCAGAAGGGGCTGTGGTCAGAAGCCCGCCTGGGCCACACGGGGGTGAGGCAGCCGCAGGCGGTGCCTGCAGCCACCGGGCGGCCCAGTGGGCTCAGCTCTGCGCGGTTTGGCGGGCTGAGGTGGTGTGGGAGTGTGGCCAGGGGCTGCCCAAGCTTCTGCTGGTTTCAGAAGAAATCCACCCATTTTCCCCTCATTTCCCGGGTTGAGACTGTTGGAACCTACCTTCCGCCAAGCCACACACGACTTCAAGGAGGTTTTGATGTGGGCTGGGGCTGTGTTTATCGCACTCCGGGCTCTGGTCGTGTGCCAAGCCCAGCATTCCTTGTGCATTCCTGCGTAAGGTGCAAACTGACAAACGTTATTCAAAAGGGGAGGAAAGGAACACACGCACGTGTGTGAGCCAGGGTCGCCGCACACAGGACTCCTGTCGGGAGTGGGCCCTGGGCCAGATTGCCCGAGCGGAGGAGGGATGGGGGAGGTGGGTGGGGGCTGGGGGTGTGTGGGGAGAGAGCTCCACTGAGGCACTGGCCCTTTCCGAGGTAGGGCGGTGCCCACAGGTGCGAGGCACGCGTCCCACTGGAGCGCAGAGCCCGTGTTCTCCTGGAGTTCCCCTTGGGCACTGCAGGCAGCAGGTGCGGCCCAGGAAGGGGGCGCTGTGGCTGGCAGGCAGGGGCGGGCAGTGGCTCCAGCTCAGCAGCCGTAACCTCACCCCTGCCTCCCCCACGTCCTCCGACCAGGGCTCCCAGCAGCTTCTGCTTTGTGCAGAGGTGACAGCCGCCCCACACAAGTAGCTTCACACAGTGCGGCTTCTCACCCCAGCAAAGCACACTGGCAGCCTCGAGGCGTTCCCCAGGCAGCTGCCGAGGGCACGGTGCCCCCAGGCTCTGCGGGGGGCTCCCGGCACCAGGCGTCGGGTGGCTCCACTGGCCCTGACTGTGGGGTCATCGTGCAGAGCGTGTGGGATGCCGACCAGGAGGGCTTTGGGAGAAGCGGCCGGATGCTCCCAAGCTCGTGCTGGGCAGCATCGGGCGGCGTCGGGGCGGCCAGAGGTCCTCAGATGTGTGCTAAGCCACGTTTCTTTGTTCGCCTAGACCTTCCTGAAAGCCGTGGACCAGGTTCTTGGACTGCCCAGCTGGACCGCGGTGTCAGAGGTAACGGAAGAGGAGGCGATGTCTGCACCGGGCACCGCTGCTCACCCTCCTCGGGGTCACAGCCGCAGAGGGGGTGGCCCGGACGGCAGGGCGCGGCGTGGCTGGACCCCGGGTCCTGGCCCCTGGGCTCGGCCGCGGGCGGGCGCGGTGCGTGGGTGTCCTGTGCTCCGAGGAAGCCCAGCTGGCGTTTTCCCGGGGGAGGCACTATCTTCTCGTCATCTTACATAACATGGTTCTTTCTTGTTTCACCATCACGTTGTTCCTGGGTGGTATTTGATGTTTAAAGATTGCGGGCTCAGGTGCAGGAAAGGATCACCCGCGAATGCACTCTTCGTGATTAAACTTCGTCTCTCATTCTCTGTGCCAGGAATAATTAGAAGAGAGGATGGAAGAATTCTTATTCTGTTTCTAAAATCCAACTTCCTGATGTTCTTACTTATTTAAAAAAACAAGGCAATACACGTAGAGAAGCTAGAAATGCAGGCAGTAAAGTAAGAATCTCCTGGAAGGTAACGGCTGCCCGTAGCCCTTGCGAGCCGAGGATTTCCATGTGCGTTCTACAGTCATGGCACGAACCTTCTCCCAGGGCCCTCCTGACGCCCCACGTCCGTCAGGCAGGCAGGACAGGCCCCGGCGTCTTCTGGCCTGGGGCAGTAGGAACTCACTGGTCACACTGCCGGCCGAGCTGGGAGAGCCTGGCTTCGGACGTCCACCCACACTGCCTTCTCCACAGGCCCCTCGGAGGGGGCGGCCGGGGAGACTCAGCCCCCCCAGGGTAGCGGAGAAGGGCTTGTTCCGCGGAACCCTGACTGTTTAAACTCCTGGGAGCTTTGCCAGCGGAGGGGAAGTGACGCCGCCGTCTCTCATTAGCCGGGGAGTGCGCAGGGGTGTCCTGTGGCGAGCTGCTCCTGTGAACAGCTCCGGGTGGATGAGAGCATGGGCAGCAGTGGCTAAGGGGGGAGGAAAGGCCAGGAGTGAGACTAACCCTCACCTGGGTCTCCAGGGGCTCGGTGCGCGAGGCTGCAGCCAGGGAAATAGGGCGGCTGGCGGAGGGGCCAGGCAGATGCATTTTCTGCATCCTTTTATTTTAAGCTTAAGCTTTTTAAAGCCAGAAATGTTGCTTCCAAGCGATGCAGGACTGTCCGTGGGGGGGGGTCCGAGGCCCAGGACTAGCGGAAGCGAAGTGTAGCGTTACGTTGGG